TTATGGGTTACAAAAAACAAAAAAATTTCGATCATGGATTACAAGAAAATCGATCAAGTATTACAAAAAAATCTATCATGGATTACACAAAAAAAAAAACAAAAAAAAAACCGTACGGGACTCGCCGATTCACTGTTCGGACTCGCCGATTCCGTACAGTGAATCGGCTATTCACTGTACAGAATCGTCCGGTTCTCTCTAGAAGCGGACGATTTCCGATTTTTTAGGCGATCCGGTCCCCTTTTCACGATTTCCGAGTCGAACCGGGCGAATCCGGTTCGACTCGACGTTTTTTAAAACATTGGTCAAAATATAAAGTTATTCAAATAATCAAAGAAAGAAAAAAAAGATGGTTTTACGTCACATATTTTTGTTGAAAAATCGGTATAATTTTTGTAAAACAACTCGGAATTCATTATAGGATATCCAAAAAATTGGTCAAAAACTATTTTTAAAGCATGAAAAATTTGTATAAAAATTTTCTTTATCATAATTTAAGAGTTATTTATAGAAAAGTAAAATGAGTCACAAATGAAAATTACAAGCACTAAAAGCTATATATTTAAGATTACAAAAGATACTAAAACCAACTTTATATTCTAATATCATAATTAGAAACAAATTCACAAAAATATTTGAAATGAAGAAATGAAATATTTTTTAATTTCAAAACATAAAAAATATGTGGAACATGGAAGGATGTTATCATATTTTAGTTATGACCATTATTAAATATATTAAAAGACTAATATTTCAATTAGTATTATAGGAAATATATTATAAATTCTTTTTTAAAATTTTCAGCCATGCTCACTACTCGGGCGACTCAGCAGAGTAACTCGGCTTGGGCCAGGTCCAAGCCCTTGGCCCAAGCTGAGCCTCTAAGCGTGCAATGGAAATATAAAATCACACTTCATCCAAATGCTTTCAAAACAACCAATACAAATCTAGAATTTGAATCCTCAAGAAATTCATTTCTAGCTTTTCAATCGTTTCGAGCATTTGTTTTTCTAGGGAGCAAACTACAGAGCTTGCAATGACACGAAAAGCAAAACACATGGTCCATCCATTGGCGGACCACTGCAGTAACTGTCCTACCCCATTATGGGGCCTTTGGGCCATTTGTTTTGCCCCAAATTTTACGCACATATTCTCTTTAAGCCCAGCTATGGAACCCATGAAAAGTATTTTAAAAAATAGAAAATAATTTTTTTAGAAGAGAAAAAATTGTTGCACATCTGTTGACCCTAGAGGAAGTATTTAAAAAAATAGAAAATAAATTTTTTAGAAGAGAAAAAATTGTTGCACATCTGTTGACCCTAGAGGATTTCACTCCCATATTTTCTAGATTGCCTCACCATCACAAGATGACCATTTCTTTCTTCTTCTTCTTTTAAACAAATAGCTTTCATTTTGAATTGTTAGAGACAAGATCTAGCCGCACATGAAATGGATGGTCTACCCTCATTGGGTTCAAAAAAACCGTTTTCCAAGGGACTTTTTAAAATTCCTTTTCATGAGCTTCTTCCCCAGATCCAAGCGAATGAGCATTAAATTCGGGGAGAAACAAACGCCCTTAGGACTAAGAAACAGGGGAGGGCGGGCCAAAATAGTGGTCGGCTCCTGCGTGGCCCAAATGTTTTCCTCATTAGGGCCTGTTTGGATGGGAGGAAATTAGGAATCTTGAATACGTGAAAGCCAGAATTTTCAGTATCAAGGATTCTTATCATGGATTCCTCAAATCTCTTGTTTGGATAAACTGTACAAACTTCATGGATTCCTTACAATCATTTCCATATCCACAGTTCAGTAATCAAATAGATTATGGTGGAAACCGTATAACATGATTCACCTGGAGAAAGAGAATGAATAAAAGGAATGACTAAGCATTGTCCTTTAATCTAAACGAAACCCGATAGCAGAAGTTTCATTTGATGGAAGAATCACTATTGGCCAATTATGCATGTACAGATATACCAAAAAAATACAAATCATGAAAGAGAACCACAATGACCATTCTATGAAACCAATCACCTCCATGAAACCTGCAAAATGTGGGAGTGTATCGTATACCTTGGTGTATAGTTGATCGAGAAATCATAAACGTTCTGCATCAGCAGATTGCGTATAATTGAGTCCTTGTAATATTAAGAAAATGATCAAATAGATAAGGTAATATTAGAATTCTCAATCTCACGTATTAAAGGAGTTAAATAGATGCAAATATATTCTTGGCTGACAAAACCTACCTGCAAATCCCTCATTTCCACCCATTAAAGGCCTCTGTTACAAGATTACACACAAGCATTTTGGGTCCTTGCTCTGATTTGTCCGTTGCTTTTCTGTTTTCATGCAAGAAGAGTGAGTTTAATCAGAGGATCTGAGAGGTAGAGATAGTGGGGGGTGGGGGGTGGGGGGTTAGGTGTTATACCAACAAAATGATTTTGAGAGAATTTTAAAGAGAAGAAGTTCTTTGAGACTTTCAATGAGAATGAGTGAGAGGATACCCTACCCAATGATCTTGAGAGAGAGAGAGGGGTGGGCCAACAAAATTGATTATGAGAGAACTTTAATGAGAGAGAAAGCACCAACAAATTGATTATGAGAGAATTTTGATGAAAGCTAACATACCAACAAAATGATTATGAGAGTTTTAATGACATAGGTACCAACAAAACGATTTTGAGATAATTTTAATGAGAGAGAAACCAAATGATCTTGAGAGAGAGAAAGAGAGGAGGGCACTAATATAAATGATCTTGAGATAATTTTAGTGCGAAGTCTACCATGAGAGAATATTTAATGAGAGAGAGTGAGAGAGGGTACCAACAAAATGATTTTGAGAGAATTCCAATGAGAGAGAGTATACTTCGGGAAAGAGAGAGAAGAGAACACCAACATGACAGAGAGAGAGGAAGACACCAACATGACGATTTCAAGATAATTTTAATGAGAAGTGTACTATGAGAAAATTTTAATGATAGAGAGAGAGAGAGAGGATCAACAAAATAAGAGAGAGAGAGGACACCAACTTAGTGACTTTGAAATGATTATAATGAGAAGTATACCGTTGCCCTTTTCTGAGGAAGGGGGTTTAACTACAACATGCATTGTCGTGACCCCACCAGGAAAATCACATATGGGACTCCTACACTCTCCCAAGGTTCTGTTATTCTCCAATATCCTTCCAGCATTGATTAGCTTGACATCACTAACAGTCCTTGGACCATTTTCCTTATCTGCTTAAAGGACAAAAAAAAACTGAGGAAACATATATCGATAAAGAGATCGAATTTTGATTGCATGAACAATATAAGAAGGAAAATTGTTTCATACGGGCTGGACTGCTTTTCTACATATGCGGTCCAGAAAAGAGTGAAGCATCCATCTTAAAGATGGATGCAAGTAGGTGTTCCATCTAGAACAATGGAAACTAACAGCCCAAATGTTTTCTTAATAAAATTATTATTTTTAGTTTTAAAAATTTATTTATTTATTCATATACATGATCTCCATGTTAGAGATTACATGTTCTTAAAAGTTAAGTCTTAATATCCATCTCAAAAATAGATCTATTAAGAGGCCCACATTTCTACATATGCGGGGGCTTGGCCACAGAGAAACCGGGTCCATATAAGAGAGCACTGAAAATTCTGGCTCAGACTGTTCTCTTCTCTTTCTCTGTTCTCCAGTTATAATCACTGCTGGGCCTGTGTTTCATCAAAGTTTTTTTAAATTAATATTATAGCTATTGACATAATCTCATAGTATATCATATTCTATCTCCCATAATAAAGGAGAGTTAGCCTCCGTTTTCTTTTTCATTTCAGCATTATCTTCTTAATTAAAAAATAATAAATTACCTCGATTAATCGGAATGATATACTCCACATTATTTTCTAACCATCAAGACAGATAATTTTTTGCATTAGAAGTGACAGTAGCTAAATTTCTTTATGAGTAAACCAAGCATAGGTAGTTTCATAAACCAAAACAAATTATCTCATATCAAGTAGGGAGCCATCCTTTTCTTTCAAAGAGGGGATCATCAACCAGTATCAATTGTGCATAACTGCCTTCTATCACATATAAACTGCCTGTGTGTAATTTTTGGTAAGTTGTTATCTAAGAAAAATCTCTTAGATATGGTGCATCACCTATAAAGCACTTTCGCTGACAAGCAAGGAGGAAGGTAAAGGTAAATCCAAGTGGGGCAAAAGTAAAAGAGGAGTTTCAGTAAGATTCATGGCAACCCAATTAGAAAAGGGTAATCGGAAAATTCTCATACTAGGTACAAAAGATTTCTTCTTATCTCATAAAAATACTCAATGAAATTATAGAGAGAGAGAGAGAGAGAATATAAGGGAAGAAACTTAAGGAGCTTAGAAAAAGCATAATATGAAAGTAGTTATCACACTATCTGCAAGGGACTGCTTTTATCTCAAAAAAATGGCCAATGAAGCTAGAGTGAGAGGGGATATAAGGGAAGAGACTTCAGGGAGCTGGCTAATAGAGGAGGAGAATCCCAACATGCCAGTCTCCATAGTAGACATTGAGAACAACAAACTCCAAGGAAGAAGGATACAGGGAAATATTCATCCACCAACATCATAACTCAAGGAATAAGAGAATCAAGAAATCAAGGTGGTCGCCATACTCCGAAAAACAAGGAGAATCTTTAATAATTAATAGGGTGGAACTGAACTAAGACATCTAATCCCACCAGTAGCTCAGGGGGAGAGAACAATGTATTCTATCATGACATTTCAAGAATTTCATAGTAACCATGGACAGCTAAACAAGTAGATGTTCCGCAAGAACATCATCAATGTGAGTAAAGTTTCCTGCTGAAAAGAATTCAGTTAGTAAATACTCAAAGGTTGTAAGTAATTTCATAATGAGCAGGAGTTTGAATTGTAAAGAAAGACTTTGCATCATCAATAAAAGGGAGAGAAAGGGATTTTAGAGGAAAAACTCACTCAAACATACAGGGGAACTAAAAAGGAAGATGTATACTAAAGAAAAGAGAAAACAAGAATTGAGTATCATCAATTGTCAAGAGGTTTAACCGCTTAAGGCACATATAAGAGCAGTCATTCCCTAGTTATCCCAAATCAAAAGGTGGAAAGCAAAGAAAAGATGGCTTAGAAAAAGAAAAACAGCATCAGAAGTGAGAAACTTTGAGGTTCAAAAGATGGGGTAACTTGAGGACTAAGACAATGAACTCTCAGCAATTTACTCGAGATCTCATATGAAGTTAGGATGGGTAATAATATTAAGTAAGCCAGTTCAGTTCAGCGTGATAAATGGCGATTTAAGTTTGCCAAGTTTCCACCAAATATGTTCAAAGAACTTGCAAGCCCAGCTTCTCAAGGACAACAGAAAGTGTGATGTAGTCGTTTGTTATAGAACAAGTTAGGTTCCAGGATTTTCTCAAGTATACAAGAAAAAGAAGAGGAGAAAGAGAAGGATATTTGATTTTGGATCTTGTGAAAAGCTCTTTTTGGGGTGGACTCCCTTGCAATCTATGTGAGAGGGTATAACCTCTCACCTCCTTTATTTTTATTTTAAGTTTTCTTATTTATTTATTTTATTTTCCCTCTTCCCTGCATTAATTGGTATCAACGATTGAAAAATTCATCCATCATAATGCCACCAAAACCTACGCTCATGATCAACGATATATAGCCACATATTGGAGCTTGTGAAGCAATAATAAAAGAGGGTGTAAATCAAGACATGGAAGATATTCGAAGATAGTCCAGCAGAATAAATCAGAGGCTGCAACGATTAGAAAATACCTATCGTCAAGAAGAAGGTGCTCATAATCTCGTAGATTTGATACCAAATCTTAAACTTCAAGATCAAATAAGAAGAAACTTGAATATATTAGATACCATGAAGAGGTAAATCTCAGTGTGAAAATATGTTGAAAACCACCCAAAAAGTGGTCGAAATTTCGATAATTGATTATTAAAAATAAACTACGCTATGTGTAGCATGTGAAATAGCACCCTCTGAGCTCAAAGACGAAATCGAGATTATGTTTGGTATTCCAGAGTTCCACTACAAGTTGTACATCAAGTTTTTGATTAATTGGTTAATTAAAGAAGACAATGTAATCAGGTAAATGGTGGGACTTATCACCAACAAAGTAAAGGACTCTAAAAGAAATGATGAATTCAACAAACTGAAGGTCAAGCTTCTCCCAACCCTAAGGGAATGATGTAATTAGTTTTTTTTATTATTATTTTATTAATTTTTAGGGAGATTAGATCTAGGATTTGGCTTTCTTTTTTTCTTTAAAGAAGTTTTTAGGTTTGAATTTTGGTTATTTTGGGTTTCTAATTTTCTTTTAAAGTATTTGTGTATTTTTCCTGTAAGGAATTGAGGGGTATAATTAAAAGTTCAATTTTTTTTGGAAAAAAAATGAAGGAATGTGATTTAATATTTATTAGGATTTCTTTTCTTTTCTCTTTTTTTTTGGTAATGTTAACCTTGATTTATTAGGGTTTCTTTGGGAACAAATTAGGTTTTTGATTTTTCTTCTATTAATATGTAATTGGACAAGACAAGAAAAAGAAGTTGAGAAGAGAATATTTGATTTTAGGTCTTGTGAAAAGATCTTTTTGGGGTGGACTCCTTTGCAGACCCTAAGGTATAATCTCTCATTCCATTTATTTTTATTTTTACTTTTCTGATTTATTTATTTTGTTTTCCCTATTCTCTGCATCAAAGACACAGAACTAGTATGTTCTCATAGCAAAAGCAGTCTTTTAGGACAACAATGTCCTGAATGGATATTTCTCTCATGAATTGCGGATCAAAAATGCATGAAGAAGGTCACCAGTGTAGTTCAAACTCAAATGTGGTAAAGAATGCTATTGCAGCAGCAAAGTTACACAGATTGCCACTAATCAAAACTAGATGAAATGTCTTTTATTTCCTCATTAAATAGCTAATCACCAATGGTTGAGATTCCACAGAACCGAAGTCCTCGAACGATACCTAGGAGATAGAAAAAGGTTTAATCTCAAGGAGCCTATCCTCCATGAATAGTTTGTTCTTAGATCTAATACCATGTAACAAAATAATAAACCAGGAAAAAATGTCTTTCAATCAAAATATAGACTTGAGCCAATAACCAGATCAAGGGGGAGACTTCCGCAAGAAACTAGATCAAGGGGAAGCTCATATATGGTTCCAAATAAGGAGAATGCAATCTCAGATTGTTGGCAAAACATGAGCCTTCAGGGACACACAGTTTGAGCACCATGGCAGGTCGCAATAGATCTAACAGTGAAAAAATTGAAACAGGGAGACCCAATTCCAGTGACCACACTCACATTCCTTTATCCTGTCTAGTGCTATGTAGAGCAACAGGCCCTACACAAAAGACCAATTATAGACATGCTAGAAAGCCGCATTACTTTTCGTACATAATACATAAATCCTAGTGCAATACAAGGTATTATAGCTGAACTAGCATAGCTTATTGCACATTCCATAGACCTAGAATTTTTTACTTCAAAAGTTACACTATTTTTAAGAAATTTTCAGTCATTTATAACTACATTAGGAACCCCTATAGGCTTCATATATGCTTCCCATATTCCCATAATTCCCACTAAAACGAATGGGAGTCAAAGTGCAAATCTAAGTAGTCTCTGACATCAACAATTCTCAGCCAACATAGTTTCACCAAAAGCGAACACTATATGCACATAATTACACCATGCACATAATTAATATTAAACTTGCCAGTTTTGAATTATGAAAGAGAACAAGGACTACTTTTTAGCTAGCAACAGGTATACTGCTTGGGCTTGTATTATTAGCATGGACAGTTGTTATTCCATTTTTTTCCAATATATCCAGCCATAACTGAGCTCACATGGCCACATTTTCATGGAATACAAAAGATTAAGCTTGAACTCAATCATTGCTGAAAATACAGAACCTCAGTGGCAACCACAATGCTCAATACCCATTGAAGCCATCAGGGGCAAAATAAATTAGCTCAAGTCTTCACACTAAGAGGGTGTCCATTGAATATTAAATCCATTTTCACATATAAACATAATGAGATAGATACTAGATGAGAGGAAATCCACATATCCCTCTCGCTTCAGCTTAGCAATTCTGCAAAAATATGACAGGCCCAATCATAGCCACGACAACAAAGCAAAAAAAACCAGGACAGAGATAAAAAAACATATTAACAGGTGATAAAAAGACATAGTAACAGGTTTTATAGTAACAGGCTTTAATTCGATCTAATTTTCCTTACAAATCATCAATTATCTTGGATAAATCAATCAGAATTCAACTATAGGCCTGAAAGGTTAACTGTTCATAAAAAATTAAAAAAAAATAAAATTAAATAAAATTAAAAATTAAAAAACTATAACCCTAAACTATTCAAGAGCCCCAATACCAAATATAAAACAATCATAGATCTTTCAAACCACTAATCCTCAGTAGATGATGAGGCGAGTAGAATAAACAATATTACGACGTGTAAAAACCATGCCAACCTTTCCTATCACAAAAGGCTCATGTTAGAAAGATGAAAAACCATTAAATCAACCCAAATCTCCAACAAAAAAAAATGGAAAATAATATGAATGAAGTTAAATCAACAATCAACAGATCAAAAACCCAAATAAAATGTTTATACCTTTGGGCCATTGAGCAATAATGTTTTCCTTAATGGTGGCAACACTTGTAGCAGCTGGGTACTTTTTAGGGCCAATATCTGATCCATCAAAAAGCCTGAACTTGATCTCGAACTGCTCTTGCCCTCCAGCCATCAATGAAAATAACAAAATTCCAAAGCCCGACAATAAAAGAAAAGAAACCCAAATTTCAAATGTTGGTTTTCTTCTATCTCAAGAATTTCAAGGACCCAACTCACTATTTTCTATCATAATTAAGTTCCTTGAAGTTTTCAGAAAAAAAAAAAATTAATAAATAAAAATCTCCTCTGAAGCTTCCGATGATAATAGAGGGTGTCTACTAATTTATCTCTGAAACTTTTTATACTTCTGATTGTCTGAGATTACAGTGGAAACACAATTCAATTTGTGGTCTCTCCCTGGCTTGTATCAAACTTTCCGGGAAAAGCAACTGTTCTTGTGATTCTCTTACTAAAAGCCGATTTTTTTTGCAGAAAGTCCTGAAAAACTGGGACTCTTTCTCGTGATTCTCTTTCTCAAACACTTGAATCTGAAAAGTCCAACCTTTCCAAGAGATCCTCTCTCCAAAAAACTCTAGATCCAACAAAAAGCTCTCTCTCTCGAAAAACCCAACTTATTCTGGCGATCCTCTCTCTAGAACCTTCTGATCCACCCAAGCATTTACACTGCAACAAAACCCAACTTCCTCTCTCCTCGAAAATATACGCTGAATCATTAGTAACGGATGATGATGAGGCTAGAGAGAGAGAGGGATTGAATAGATTTTAGATTGAGAAAATGCCATCGATGATTTTGAAGTCACAAAGGACGCCAGTCAATGACCCACGCCTCGACATCTTCTCAATACCCCTGGGAACTCACGAAAATAATTCTTTTCAGCAACCCTAAAAAATTCATTACAAATTCTAGAGAGATACCATTTCTTACGATTCTTACTATTTCGAGAGAGAGGATATATTTAACCAGAGAATTATTATTTTGATTTTCTCTGAATAACGCTTCGGATAAGATTACATTGTTGTTCTAAAAGATTTCCTACTTCCGTGGGAGTATACTATCCATTTATTCCCTCGGGCAAAACACACGTTGGGGATATTATTGAGATATCAAATTTTGAAGAGGTAACCTCTATAATATATAGACTAAGACTAATCTCAGTTAAAAAAAAAAAAATCTGAAATAACCACTAGATATATTAAAAAAAACTAAGACATCAAGATTGAATACACGCCGTCCAATTTTTGAAGGGTTAGATCTAAGTTTTAAAATAGTTCTTTAATGATTCTTATATGGTTCTGAAATTTCTAGACCAAAACAACCTCCATAGGTTGTTTTGGCAAGGGAGTATATGAACAATATGCTCCTGCAAAAGCATAGTAATTGTGAGTAATTATGATTATTTATTTATTACAAAAACTCTATTGCCCAAACTCCAAACTCCAAAATCCAAAGTGCTAACAATTCCTTTCTAGAAATTTGTTATCATGGAGAGTACAGTTTTTAGAGCAATGATGTTTTTCCTAATGATTGTTAAGAAGCTAATTGAATATAATTTCCATGGAGATGTGGGTTCTTCACCTTGGTGTTTAAGTTCCATTGAATTGGTTTTGCAATTTGCTTTTAATAAGCAATCTTAAGAAAATTTATTTGAGAAAATTAGGGCATTTGAGAGAAATTTAGGGCATTTGAGATGAGAGCTCCAATTCCAAGTGCTGAGACCACAAAATTATTTCAAAAGGAAATTAGCCAATGAAACAAGTGCATATAACAAATAAAATATATAACAACACTAAAGTAAGAAACTTTCAATATATTTAAATTTAATAATCAATTGATTAAAAAAATGGGTTGATAAAGTCCTCAATTAAGACATAGTCACGAGGATTTCCACCAAAATAAATAAAAGGAAAGGGTGAAGAGAACAAAGCCGTAGCAGCCTTAATGGAAAAATTGCTATTATGCCCCTCAAATTAGCCCTATGCAATTAGACTTCATAGGACTTGTTCAATGGTGCCTAGGGCTACTATGAGAAAGCTCATCTTGACTTCCAAATGTATAAAATTTAGGAAGGAAAAAAAAAAAGAAATTGTAAGTCAAACAAATAAGGTGGCTAGACAAGTGGCTTGGGTTTGGATTGTGACCTCCAAAATTTACATTCTTAATGACTATTCATGGTCAACAGAAAATAAAGATGCCCTTTCAAACTTAGTATGTCCAACTAGGGAAAAAGTTTATATAAGTAGCAAATTATGGACGCACCTCAAAAATCCATCTGAAAAGGTAGTTTTAATGTTGAAAAAGCCCTTTGATTGATCATCTCGAGATGGAGATATATGACCATGAAAAATAAAAAGATTTTAAGTCCTAGAATATTATCTACACCGTCCACTTTCAAGATTTTCATATGTTCATAGATCTACTTGATTTTAACCATTTTTTAAATTTAAAATTTTATAATAAGATATAAAAATAGATGTTGAGATAATCCTAAGAACATTTTACGTCAAAATTGTATACCATGATAAAATTTGATGGTGCATCCTACCTCTATAGCTACGGTTGCATCCGTATGCCAACTGCACCCGTCCAACTAGTGTTTTAAAACCCGGTGATTCTCAATCCCAATCGCTGACCTGGATATTGGGACCGAATTGGTTTAAGAATAGTATGGGTTCAACTTGGTTCCTCCTAAAATTCCCTTTTTACATTTTTTGTCTTTTTAAAAAAAAATTATCTAATATTGTACTTGGTCTCCCCTAAATCTCCACCTTATAAACCTCTATTTTAAAACATTGTGTCCAACAACTGTGAGGCAAAGCTTATTATGTGCAAGCTAGATAGGCTTCTGATTTCATAGGGTGGAAAGAATTTTTCCCTTTGTCAAGTGCTAAAGTGGATCCCAAAATTACCCTTATCATACATCTTTGATTTTGCAAATAGATATAGATATAAGAAAATATATAAAATGGGACCATTTAATTTTGATACAAGGATTTCACAAATATTATTGACCATTAGATATGAAATTTGATGGTTTAAAATTAGAGGTTCGAGACTGTGTCATTGACCAAGGTCAAAGTTCAAAAACAAATTCTCCAACTTTGTAACATGCTCTAAATTATCTTATTTGGTATTTGCTAATTAGTATTAGTCATGACTTCCTCGTTCCAAAAATAAATAGTCTCGTATTATACCATTTTTAAAGATTTAAGTTCACTTAGGAGAGAACCACCTTGTTTGTATTTTTTTCCTGTAAAGAGTCGGCGGCCAAATGGGCACATTATTAAAAAAAAAATTCAAATTTCCTAAGATTAAATATCCACTTGCAGCTCCAGCCCAAGATTACAACCAGACAAACCCTAGAGAGAGAAGAGAGACCCAATAATTCACTTCTGAAGTCTAAAAAAATCTAGAAAAGATTCCATATAATGTGAAGTCTAAAAAAATCTAGAAGGGGTTCCATATAATGCACTAAATTTCTTGCAAATAGCCGCATCTATTTGTCCTTATGATGCCACACCCTCAGAATGTGACATCTGACCACCCTCCCCAAAGGGAGTTTTTTTATTTGTTTTGATTTTGATGCTGAGGGATGGGAACAAGTATTAAATTAAATGTAAGTCCATCATTTCTTGAATAAGAGGGCCTTTCGAAATAAGTGTTAATGAAAGGACCCAGTTTCTATGCGGTGCAAATCTAGAAATGCGAGCCTATTAATATATTTATTTTCTAGTTGGATTTTTCAACTTAATTTTTAAGAACATATAATCTCTAACATGAAAATCATGAACATGAACAAATAATTAAATTTTAAAAATTAAAAATAATAATTATAGTAAAAAAACATGTAGACCATTTTCTATTGTTTTTAGATGGAACACCTACTCCCATCCATCTTAAAAGATGGATGCTTTACACTTTTTAGACTGCATATGTAGTCATGCGGTCCAACCTGAAACAATTTTCCTTAATAAAATTTATTTAAAAATAAATTAAAAGTAGGGATTATGTAAGACTGAGGCTCTAAACAATTAAAGTAAGGCACATCTTCACATAGTATCAACAAGATGTCTTTTTTTTTTTTGAAAAAATATCGAAAGATGCCGTTTCAACATCGAAAATATTTATGATGACTTGAAAATTTATTTCCATATCTAAATATGAAATTTCAACCTTTAAAAATGGTATACAACAAGTAGATCTATAAACACTTAAAAATTTTACAAATTGCCGATTTAGATAACGCATTACAAGATGCACTATTTTGAAAACTTGAAAGCCATTTTTTTATATTTCAAGGTCGAGATGATCGGATTTGAGGGTTTTTCAACATCGAAACAATTCTTCATTGAATTTTTTAGATGCGCCTTAATTTGATCGTTCAGGGCCTCAACGTTATATAAAATTTGATACAAGGGTCATGAATCATAATAAGCTTCAGAACACCAAGGGCAGTTTTGGAAGAAGCCCATCCTATTAATTTCCTGAAAACCACAGGTACATTAAATTAAATTTTCCTTGGGAAAATGAATTTCTATAATGTAATGGAAAAGAATGGAAGGACTACAAGCTGAAAGAAGGAAACAAGAAGAGCAAAAGAATTAATCTGCACATTTTCAATATCATTTCATAAAATGTTCACAAATGAACCTTAAAAATTCCCACAATTCCATGGGATCGGCCAACACAGCAACCTCCAATACTCCTAAGAATGACCACATGAATACAGGAAAAAAGAAAAAATAGCAAAAATATTCAAAAATGGGGTGGGCCAGAGAGAGGGAGAGATATTCTGGCCACCAAACCTTCCGCCATGCCTCTTCGTGTTCCATCGCATCCAAACTCGGATCAAGGGTAGCATTTACTGTTACAACTCGGGCCGTTCTCTTTCTTTTTCCGGGTCATGCAAATTGCAATGGGAAAAGTTACCCTTTTAAAGAGAGACCTGGATTGCTATGTTACAAATGAATAGAATCCCGCCTTCTTTCTACTTCGTTGTAAGAGGATAATGATCCCAACACCAATTTTTTCCGGAGAAAAAAATTCTGAGCATAAAAGAAAAAAGGAAAAAATGGGGGTTTTCCCTACGGGTAAATGTAAAAACTATGGCTCCATAATATGGCAGTTCCTTATGAAGTCATTCGAATAATTCACGTGCTTTGTCCAAAAGGGTCGGAGCTCTTTGAACCCGATTTCCAGCCATGGCTTCCCTTGACCATTATAGTGTATCACTGCTGCCCTTTTTATGTTTTCAAGGTTGGTTTCAGGCTGGTATCCAAGGCCAAGCATGTGCCATGATGAGTCAATTGGGTGCACATGACCACTAAAAGCTATCAGAGCCGGAGGCAGTGTTCCTAACCTCCATAGAGTCAGGTTCGAGCTCAAATTCTGCACAATCAAAAGCTTCTATGAGATACAATTGATGTGTGAGAGAGAGAGAGAGACAGATGGTTTGAGTTCAAATTCCATAATCCAAAACCTCATATGAGATCAACTTTATGAGAAGGTCAATGTTCACCATTCATCCCTTCGAACCAGTGTTTAAAAACAACAACAGATCAATGAGGTGGATTGCCCCATCCACCAATCCCTCGTTTTTTCCCATGTTCAAAAAATTGCTATATGGACATTTAAAAAGATGAAGGCAAGCCCTTGGGAGGGCTCGAATCCCATACCTTGTGGTAGTGAAAGTTGCAGCACTTGGGCTTAGTTGATGTTACTGGTACATGATGTATGATATATAACAATGCAAGTGCTGGTACTTGCTCATAACCGAACCGGTCATGGCCCGGATCGGGCGATTCCCAATCAGGACCATGATTTTTGAAACACTGCTTTGAACCATTTTATTTTCTTGAACACTAGAATTATACTTAATATCCACTATCCATCAATGACCAGTGACCATGGATGGTGAATGCCCTACTGTCTACTGCATAACTGTACACAGATTCCAAAGAGAAATGGCCTATGCCCAATGGAAACTCATGGTGTCATGGTGGTCACGCTGTCCAATGACAAGATGGAGGGTCATGGAGAGATCAGGATCCACCAGAATGAAACATGGCCCCAATGATGGATTCAGCAATATTTGCATCACCAACCATCAGATCATCACATGGTCATGAGCCAAACAGTGAACAGGTTCCCGTAGGCCCTGTATTATATTATACTTATCCAAATGGATACTAGTGCACAAGAGAGTTGAGTTAATCTTACCTCTTTTAACCAGTTATCATAAGTGTCTCGGATGTTCGTCTTCCTCCACGCATTTAGGTCAAATATGTTCATCCCATAAGCCCAAGCACACTCTTCTGGGTCCAAGTGCTTGGCTACAAGGGGATGAGAGAAATTGAAGTAATTCCTAAAGCGTTTGGACATCACCCACTGATCATCGCCCCTGCAAGTCTCCACAGCACCATTCACCTTCCCATTGAGGTCAATGTCCCATAAGGGAGATAGGTCTCTTTGGATCACCACATCATCGTCTAAGAACACGACCTTATCGAGCTTAGGAAAGAGCTACATATAAACACTCCCAACCAATTAATCAACAATTTCATAAACATAGATTACATGTGTTTCTTCTTTTCTTTGATATGTGGAACAGAGTTTCAAAAGACAAAAAGAGAATATTGTATTTGAAGGCCTCACATATGAATTGCATGTGAGGCCACAACCTCACCATCAGTTAACCTTGATTAAAGCTCAACATAGGTTAAGGAAATTGGGGTTATAACTTAAAACAACATTAGTGAGCTTCATTAAAGTTGATTGAAGGTGGAGATTATGCTTCACATGCAACTTGTATGTGAAGCGTTCACAAACAATATAGCATCTTCATTTCAGCTCATGGATGGGCGAGCTCGGTTGGGATGAGAAACAAACTTCAAACCCTCAACCTCACTCTTACCAACCATGCATCAAAGCATCAGCCATAAACACCATAAAACAATTAACTACACATTAAATGATACAATTCCTAAACATGAAAAGTTGGTTTTGCTGTGCTACATAGTACATACGTGTGTGTGCACTAGTGCTCAAGGATACTATTCCTGATCTGTGAAGGGAGTGAATGAGTGGCATAAATCTGTTTATATTGGAGAACAAAACTTGGCTTCAGGACCAGTCCTGATTAAATTCAGTGCAACTTGTCTGCTTTATTTTGACCAAAATTGTGAGGAATTGTAACATCATGATTTCTTGGTGATCACCATAGTAGCCAGCCAATAGATCAATTTATTAGTGGCCACAATTATTAATCACCAATGGCATGTCCATCCAATCCCATCTTCTCTATAATAGATAGCTGATGAACTGTTATATGCATGTATGAATGCTTGTTTCTGCATGAGTCATGGATGCATGTACTAGTATGTTTGTTGATCTATCCAACCCACCATCTTCATGACAACATACAACAGATGGATGTGTCATGCATGCATCCTTTTGCAATTCATGATGGATGCATTTAATATCTAGTTTATCCATCCAACACATGATCCCCATTATAACGATTAATGAATGAATACATAATGCATGCAAATAATACCCAATTCAACTAGAAGACCCATCAACTTTTCTCAACTATCATCTATTACAACAAAACAAGAGACTTTTGTTACCTCAGGAAGGTATATGCGGAGATGATTGAGTATGGATATGTACTTGGGGCTCCTAGCCTGCAACTTTGAAGCAACTAGCCTAGGAGCATCGTTCAGATCAGTCCCCTTGATGTGGTCTCCATGGTAATACCTCCGAATATTGACATGGCTCTCAACAGCCTCAAGAACAGGCACATTCTCTCTAGTCAGCCAATCAAACTGGTGCACCCCCTTCACCTCAACAATGGCTGGATTGGGTGGATTCAAAGCAAACCAAGAGTGCATGCCTGCATAGGTCTTCTTATCAGTGATCAAATGGAAGACTATCTTTCCAGGCTCCAAGGCTGCCATAACAGTCGATGAGACCACCACAGAGGCAGCAAGGATGTTATCGGTAGCTAGGATAAAGTGGTGGAAGGAATTGTCGGTTAGGGTTGGTAGCATCTCAGGAGGTGGTAGCTGCCTCCGTGCATTGGCATTTGATGAGTACTCATCAGTGAGTCGAAGAGAGAGACAGTATATTCCTTTTGGTATCCCACTGGCTGCAAAGTGCTTGTAAAGAAACTCTTGGAGCTTGGCTGCCCTCGTTTCCTTCTCCAGATGCTCCACCTATCAATTAAAAGCAATGGACCCCGTTAGGAAAGACATATTTCTTTTATCAACAACGAACTTCCGTCGAAAATATAAGGTATGCTAAGGAACGATGATCAAGAGATGTCAATGTGGCACTTCAAAGGGCCTATTCCTAGGGAAAACAAATGTTTCACATTTATTTCCATTATTTCAATTTGTAATGTTTAACATAACAATCAGCTACTCATACATTATGCATGACAAGAACTGTTTTTGGTTTCACCTATCAAGGCGGCATATTAAAACAATAGGGTTTTATGAATTTGTAAAGAATTTGTAACCATATTTACATGTATATTTTGTATTAAAATATACATCAAGTTGTCCTCATAAACATGCATATTATTCAAAATTATTTAGAGACTATTTACTTGTTCTTTTGCCATGCTAATAACTTTTATTGCTGATATAAAAGAGGGAGATTGTTCCTACTCAAACGTTATCAAAATAAAAGGTGGGAGATCATCTACATGTTTGTATCAAATGTGATGAGCACATTGGTGCATATCTCTTGTACATATATTAAGCCATAGGGACCTGTGGCATTCAATGAAAGTACCTAATGGAGGGACCCCTACAAAATGGGAGTAGGATAGCCTATCTTCAAATCCACTTCAAACTCTATCTCCTACAGCAAATACCTCTGTTGTAATTTCTTTGAGAAAATGTATCATTGGGACTAGACCTTTGGAGAGAGACTTTAAGCCGATTGAAGGGGACCATACAAAGTGGGAGTTTAGGGTAACTGATCACCTAATCCAGTAAACACTTAACCCATGTCGCATTAAAAGCATCTCCTTACCTAAAATTCAATAGGTGCAAAAGAATCAACTAAAAGCATAATAACAGGGAGACACATTAAAGGAGAGAAAAAATGATACGACAATTTTGTTGTCTTAGGTGATCGCTTATTAAAAATTTATTGATACAGCCGAGTAGATGAAGAACTACCATTGTCATAAATTCATAATTGAATGAAGGCCAACAATCAAAAAGTCATAAAAAGGTGTCATAAAAGGGATATATAGGGAAAATATAAAAAAAAATTATTCGTGAAAAACAAAATGACCAAAATACCTCCCTGAAACTTTTGGGGGTATTTTGGTCAATTTATTTCATGTAAAATATTTTTTTGATATTTTTTGAAGATTCACCTATTTTTTATGAACACACCCCTAAATTTCAAGTGATTTGGATTTGTAAAAAAAAAACTAAAATTCAAACACTACCAGACATCCGTGATCGTCAGATCGGCCCAGAATCAATATGGGACGTTGGGCTCATATGTTCATATGAGCTAGTGGGCTAATCCCATCTTTTCTCTGATATATATATATATATATATATATATATATATATAAAGAGAGAGAGAGAGAGAGATTAACTAGTAGACAAAAGGAGCAGTAACAAGTGGTAAAAAAGCGCATTTCCCAAGCATCCACATCAGGACATCCTCTTTCCTATGAATTGACAAAAGCTGGCATTCAAATATTCAAAAGAGATGTGAAAACCACATAGCTTTATTTCCTAAGAACTTAAATGCTCTCTGTAAGTTTCTAGGACCGATTTGCCTATTCAGGGTTCTGAGAAAGACATCCTCCAGGGACCTGTCATCCCAACATAGAACCGTTTAAGATTTAAACCTCTTATCTCCAAATGTAACACAATTCTACTACTAATCAAATCCATTGCCTCCCAAATAACCACTTCAGATAATTATGGGACTTCAATTCTCATACTCCCACTAGATTTTGAAATCACATTTTTCATAATGATCCACTTCAGATAATTATGGGACTTTAAAGAACTTCCAAAATTATTCCACAAGGGGGCCCTCATTATGTAGTCTGCATCTTCTCAGCCTAATTAAAAATATTGACAAGGTATTGCAATAAAAATAAAAAGGAACTCCAGTATAGTTAGAAAAACAAATTGCTCAAAGGAAAAGAAAAATAAATTCATAAAAATAGATAAAACCGTTATGTTAACTTCAATTCAGAAATCAGTAAGGAGCAAATCTTTACAGTTGATGCATCTCAAACATAAACTTACAAGCAGGACAAAAAGTCTGAAATATTCAAATCCTCCTTGGTATTTTTATGTAACAACCAAGCCCTCTTTGTCCGAGTCTTTCAAGAGTGGAAGAATGTTCTGAGTGTAACCTTACAAGGATCAAATTCTAAACACTAAACCTTCTGTAGTTGCTCCAGCTCTAGATAGGGTGTCTTTATGCATATTCATTTTCTAGTGAACACGCTCAAAGAAAACCTCCATAGAGCTACTGAGCTCTCAAATTTCCTCAAAAACAAGAGCAGATCTTCATAAATTGCGCCTTGTTTGATAATCCAACATATGACATTCAAGAAATCCCCGCTCATAAGTTATAGACAGAAGAATGAATCCAAGAATACTCTAATCCACTAAGGAAAGAGCTCTAGTTACTGCCACTGTAGATCTATGTACCCTAACAATCCCACTTCTCATAGTGGAAGGAGATGCTAAGAATGTTATTGTCTGGGCCTCAGGCTCAGCACCATGGCCCTGGACTGTCGCACACATATTTGATGAAATCTATCACATTTGCAAGGACACGATCGTCTCATGGGGGCATACATGGCGGGAGGGCAACGCAAAGGCCGACGCGATAGCTAAAGAAGCAGTCAACAACACACCCATGACTGCTTTTGGTAACTCTATAGTTTTGTTCTCTTTGTCTTGGTCAGCGTGCATACTATCAACCTGAGTGGTGTTTTTGTATAGAGCCCCCAATACTAGGGGTGCCCATTTTTTTATAAAGCTCCTGGTCTGTGGGATGCCTACTTTTTGATACCTTGTATTTCTTCCTTTTTACTCAATACAATAGTCAATAGTTCAATTTCCATCAATCTCATCCCTAAGTTTTTTTTCCACATCTCCTATCTCATCATCATCATTAAAGCCTTTTCCCAACTAATTGGGGTTGGCTACACGAATCCCGGTCTACCATTTTGCTCTAAGGGACATACCCTCAGGGAGGCCATAAGTCCCCATATATTTTCTTACTACTTCCAATCATGTCCTTTTGGGCCTACCCCTGAACTTTATTGAGCCTTCCCCTTAAATTAACTCACACTTCCTAACAGGTGTTGTATTGGGTTTGCACCACACATGGCCAGCCCACCTAAGTCTACTTTCTCTCATCTTATTGCCTATTGGTGCCACACCTAAATTCTCCCGAATATATTCATTTTGAATTCTATCCCCTCTTGTCTTGCCACTCATCCATCTCAATATCCTCATCTCAGCTACACTCATTCTATGGGTATATTGTTTTTTGACCGTACAACATTCCACCCCATAAAGTAAAGTTGGTCTCATAGCTATCCTATAGAACTTGCCCCTCAGCTTCATTGGTATGCGGCAATCACATAAAACTCCAGTTGCACATATCGACTTCACCCACCCAGCTCTAATTCTATGTAAAACATCTTCCTCAATCTCTCCATTTTGCTGGATTATCACTCCAAGATACCAAAATTGCACTCTATTTGGTATTTCTTGACCGTCAATTTTAACTACTTCCTCGCCTCTTGTTACTCGACTTGCATTTCACATCTCCCATCGAAATATATTAAATCCAGGAGCCTTCTTCTCTTCCTCTCCAAGGAAGTTTTTATGATTTCTCAATTCTTATGATTTCTCTCTAGATTATCCACTACAGATGAGGGAATGAGGAAGTTGTAGCATGAACATGTGCTAGGCAGAGTCAACTAAATAAGGTGATATTACATCAAAGAGAGAGAAAGATGACTTCCCTTGAAGCCAATTTCATCTGAAACACCCAGTTTTTGGACAACTTAACATCACTTGAGATTTGCCAACCCATTGTAGTAAACCCCACACAAGAGCTCATTACAGCATCAAGTACGCACTGCATTTCTCTTGCAAAGTTCGACACTTTGATGATGAATGGAATAGTCTCCCAACGAAGAGAATTAAAACACTTTTTATAAAGAACTGATCTCAAGACCTATTCCAGTATGTTACTATGTATAAAATTATCTTTAGTAAAATGGAAATGCAATCACTTGCATAAAGACAAGATAGGAATATTTTGTGATATCTTATAATATATTGCTTTTACATAGAGCATTCGCCTACACACGTTATCACAGTTAACAACTTGCCTGCATATGTCAAGTCACACAAACATATTTTAAAATGTCCATATGCATATGAATGTAATAACATATAAATAAACATGCACAGATCAGATATGTTTCCACTAATCCTTTTGAAGGCATACATATTACATGCACATAACCACATATGTGAGCTCTGATGCTGTCCTTTTATAAGCACATATCCTTGCTACAAAATTTTTGTCCCACTGTCACAAAAGTTTCCTACAAGAGTCACTGTTGCCCATTAATGGCTTTTGTTTTCCGTAGCTATTAATCTTCCATATTTGACTATATAAGTATGCCCTCCCTGAGTGGCAACAATGACAAACTGGTTTTTGGCTATGCAGCTCTAACTAGTCGAACAATAGATACTAAGACCTGAGAGAGAAAAACAATATAGATATGGCAGCAAGCTAAGAAGAATAATAAGCTGTTGGGGAAGAAACGACCATGAAGAAATCTAATACATGACCCTTTTTTATGGATAATACATCTAGGGTCCGTTTGGGTACCTGGATTAGACTATCCAAAAGAAGGTTATCCAAGTATTGGGCCCCTATCCATTGTTTAGGTAGCACAACAGCTCGTGGATAGTCTAATCCCGCATACTAGTCAATCCACGTTTTCCTTTAAAAAATGCAAATAACCTTATTCCACCCAAAGAGGTGGAATAAGTCATTCCAAACTTTTTTGGATAACACTATCCCCATCATGGACCCAAAATTATACATTCACTTCAATTTGTTGAGCTATTTTCATGTCCTCCATAAAATAAATCGCAACCACAGATCCTGAGATGAAAAAGCCCTAACC